GGTCCAGGTGCCTGGCCACCCGCTGGGGCCGGGACAGAGCCAGCACCCAGGGCAGGGGCTGGGGAGGCAGCAGGCAGGCTGGCGGGGTCAGCAGCAAGCCCTAGAGCAGCACCTTCTGCACCGCTCCAGGGCATCCAGTTCCTGATCGAAAACGACCTGCTGAAGAACACGTGTGAGGATATCGCTCAGTTCCTTTACAAGGGAGAGGGCCTCAACAAGACAGCCATCGGTGACTACCTGGGTGAGAGGTACGCTGGCCTGGGGCGGCTCAGGTCTCCTGAGGGTGCCCTGGGCTCTCACTGCCTGAGAGATGGGACACTGCAGCTCTTGGAGCTTACGGGGCAGCTGAGTGGGGGTGCATGGGGGGCTGGACACCCTGAGTGCTAGGGCCAGCTGGGGGGCTGTTCGATCCATGGCTGGCACTTGCGAGAGGCCAGCATGTGCAAACCAGCCCAGGACTCGAGTAGGGGGTAGCTGCAGGTTTCCCCCAAAAAATGAGCAGAGTCTGGAGCAGGGCAGGGAGACGTGGGGCTGCTCGGCAGTCACAGGACTTGTTGCTCATGCATCCCTTGTGCTCTGGCTTTGTTCCCGCAGGGACGAGTTCAACATCCAAGTCCTGCATGCCTTCGTGGAGCTGCATGAGTTCACTGACCTCAACCTCGTGCAGGCTCTGCGGTGAGCAAAGGGGGCCGGGAGCTGAGCCGTGTCTCATCAGGGGAGACAGGCAGCGGGCTGGCGGGGGGGGCTGTAGCGACATGAGCATGGCTGGAGGGCACCGTGGAACCCCCAAAGCAGCGCGACGCCTCGCTCTTCGCAGGCAGTTCCTGTGGAGCTTCCGGCTGCCCGGGGAGGCGCAGAAGATCGACCGGATGATGGAGGCCTTTGCCCAGCGGTACTGCCAGTGCAACCCTGGCGTCTTCCAGTCCACAGGTGAGTGCCTGTCCCAGCCCCTCTCTCCGGCCATCCTGCCTCGTGGCTGACTTTCCTCTCTGCCCCTGTAGACACCTGCTACGTGCTCTCCTTCGCTATCATCATGCTGAACACCAGCCTGCACAACCCCAACGTCAAGGACAAACCCACAGCGGAGCGCTTCATCGCCATGAACCGTGGCATCAACGATGGGGGGGACCTACCTGAGGAGCTGCTTCGGGTGAGGGATGGGACGCGGAGGAGCTGGGGCTGGGCTGCGGAGCTGGCCTGCCGCAGGGCTCCCAGGCGGAACAGAGCTGACGCCGTGTATCATTATGCCAGAATCTCTATGAGAGCATCAAGAACGAACCCTTCAAAATCCCTGAGGACGATGGCAATGACCTCACCCACACCTTCTTCAACCCCGACCGGGAGGGCTGGCTCCTGAAGCTAGGTGAGTGCTGGCAGCAGGGCAGATGTGGCCAAGGGAGGAGCTGGGCCGTGGGTGCTATGCCCCTGGGCTGCATGCACCTCGCCTGCTGGCCTGGCTCCTCGGAGCGTGGCCCTGTGGAGGGGCGAGAGGCTGGAGATGGGGGCACAGCCCCCATGGGGAAGGTGTCCGTAGGTCCAGCTGCACTCTTGTCTTCCCTGGGCTGGTCAGCAGGTGTGGACTCACAGCTGATGAAGCCCTGCGGTGCGGCTGGGTGGGCGTCTTGGGGGATTCTGCCTCTAGGTTGGGGAAGCCCTGGGGTGCAGAGCTGGTACCAGGGTCCGGTGTTGGAGCACAGAGATCACGAGGCCCTTCTCATTACCAAGTCACAGCAGGGTCCTGTTGGAGCAGGCCCCCGGGAGCGAGTGGCGAGCTGCCCCAGGTTGCGTGCGTCCCCCCTCCATGCCACAGACCAGTCCCTGCCTCACCTTCCCACAGCATTATCACCTCCGCATCCCGGCTCCACATGCAGGCAGCGTGCATGGCATCCCCGCGGCCCCGCTGCACAGCCCGGCTCTCAAGGCCGGCGAGCCCGCTCCACGCCCTGGCTCCTGTGGCTTCTCCTCTTGGCAGCTCTGGGGAATCCTCTGCCTGGGTTAAGTGAGGGGGGACAACGGGGTGCTGGCAGGAGCAGGGTCTGGTGGGGGCCTTCCCCTGGGGCTCTCGCTGGGGTCAGGACTCTGTCCTCTCACCAAGGGGTGTTTCTGTCATATTGCCACCCCCTTGGGATGGGAGAGAGGCCTTACCCTCCCACCATGCCCTGACCGGTGCAGAGCCCGGCCCTGGGGCTGAGCACCGGCCATCTGCTCCCCAGCTCTGGGGTGGGGGAACGCGGGGGAGA